GACACGGCCCATCGTGTTCTTGCTTTCTAGTGGACGCCATCTGTGTTTTATACCGTGGTGGACTCCACTCTGGGCCTCCACTCTGGGCCTCTCTTCCTGACAAGGTTGGAAAAGTGGGGGAGGGAGGGGCAGAGGAAGTCGAGGTGAGAAAAACACAGACATGCCCCGTGGTGTGGGCTCTGTATCGGCTTCTCGAATCTAATTGACTTGGTCTTGCTGCCCCTCTCTGAGGTGAGCGCAGTGACCATGGCCATCTTTATTTTATTTTTTATTGGTACAGTGTGGTTGTACATACATGGGTTCAGTGACAGAATCACATCTCAATGTAGTTTTTTTTTTTTTTTTTAGAGAGGGTGAGAGAGAGAGAATTTTTTAATATTTATTTTTATTTATTTTTTATTTCTCGGCGGACACAACATCTTTGTTTGTATGTGGTGCTGAGGATCGAACCTGGGCTGCACGCATGCCAGGCGAGCACGCTATCGCTTGAGCCACATCCCCAGCCCTCGATGTAGTTTTGATGTGCCTGTCCTGATTGCCAGAGAGGTGGAATCCTTTTTTTCCTGTTTGTTGGCTGTTGGTATTTCTTTTACATATATATATATATATATATATTTTTTTTTTTTTTTTTTTTTTTTTTTGCTGTCAACGATCCTTTATTTTTTTTTATCTACATGTGGTGATGAGAACCGAACCCAGTGCCTCACCCATGCTAGGTAAGTGCTCTGCCACTGAGCTACAGCCCCAGCCCTTCATATTTCTTATTTTGAGAAATATCTGTTTAGTTCTTTTGCTCTGTTATTGATTGGGTTATTTGTGTGTGTACGTGTTAAGTTTTTTGAGTTTTTTACATCTTATGGATATTAATCCCCTGTTGGAGAAGTATTTGACAAAGATCTTCTCCCATTCCTTAGATTCTCTCTTCACACTCTAAATCATTTCCTTTGCTGTGCACAGAGTTTTTAATTTGATGCCTTCCCACTTATTGATTCTTGGTTTTATTTCTTGAGCTTTAGGGGTCTTGTTCAAACATTCAATGTCTGTACCAATATGATGGAGTGTTGAGCTACGTGTTTTCTTCTAGCAGTTGCAGAGTTTCTGGTCTAATTCTTAAGTCTTTGATTCGAACTTTTGTGCCAGGCGAGAGGTAGGGATCTGGTTTTGTTCTTCTACATATTTGTGCCAATCTTTATAACCACTATAACCAGAAATGAATTGGTCATGAATGCTTTCCTATAATATGTCCATTTTGTAGATGAGACAGTAGCTCTGAGAGGTGAAGTAAAGGGGGAGGCATAATTAGGGAGAGATAAACATCTGTTTTCTGAGAATCCATCCTTAGTACCGGGAGCTGGATCACTATTGCACTGTGATGGCAACGGGGACCCCATCTCTGGTGGCAGGTGAGAACAGACACCCCCTGCCAGGTGTTGTTCTGTTAAAATTCTCTGCTCAGTCACTGCGAGATGCTGTGTGTGAAGTACATGGCATGGCGTCCAGTGCAAACTGAGCACCCACTGAAACCCTCTGTATTTACAGAGATCACTTCTTTTAGTGCACTTTGCTTTATTGGGGGTTTGTGGGGCCCTGGGTTGAGCAAGTCTGTGAGTGCCGGGTTCCCAATAGCCCAGGTGAATGTTAACATTTCTTTTCATCAAGAAGACACATTGTAATTAAGATTTGTACATTTTAGACACAATTCTATTGCACACTTAAGAGATCACAGTATAGTAGACTACTTAACTTTTCTTTTTTTTTCTTTTTTGGTACTGGAGACTGAACTCAGGGGCACTAAACCACTGAGCCATGTCCCCAGCCCTATTTTGTATTTTATTTAGAGACGTGGTCTCACTGAGTTGCTTAGCGCCTCTTGTTGCTGAGGCTGGCTTTGAGCTCGTGATCCTCCTGCCTCAGCCTCCTGAGCTGTGCGGATGACAGGCGTGTGCCACTGTGTGCCACTGCACCTGGCGACTTAACGTTTTTATGTACTGGGAACCAATAAGTTCTCCGACACCCTTTACTGCTGTGCTCGCTCTGTGGCAGGGTTTGGCATCCACCTGCAGAACGGCCATCCCTGTGCGCTGACCTTGCTTTTCGTTTGATCGCTGACCTCCTTTAGTCATCTGCCTGAGGTCAGGATGGGGCATCCAAGCCAGGCTCCTGCCAACTAGGGCCGAGGTCCAGACCCAACCTGCCCCGTGTGCTGGGAGGGAATGTTTTCCCCTGTCCCAGGCCTCCTGCTGAGGTGCACCACATATTGGCACAATAGCTTGGTCTTCATTTCCTAGATATAGAAATGGAGACTTAGGGAACAAAATCGTGTGTCTGGGTTCAGATGTCCTCATGACCCCAGGGACCGTTCCCGGGCAGAGGGTGGACCCATAATGTGCGGCCACTAGGCTCCTTCTGCTCCTGGTGCCACTGTGCATGACAGTCATTTTAAGCTAAAGTGAAGGGGTCTTCTTTTTAATTTTTTTTTTTTTTACTTTTATTTTTGGTGCTGGGATTGAACTCATAGGTGCTCCCAGAGCCACGTCTACAACTAATTTTTTTTTTTTTTTAATTTTGAGACAAGGTCTCACTAAGTTGCTGAGGCTGGCCTTGAACTTGAGGTCCTCCTGCCTTGGCCTCCCGAGCTGCTGGGATTATAGGCATGGGCCACTGCACCCGGCAAGGGTGCTCATATTTCACACGACCAAAACCCTTCCTCATCCCCTGCCAATGCTTTACATGTCTTGATGGCACCAATTCTCTCCTCAAACATTACCCTTTCACCCCTAGGTGTACCTCCTCCTCCTCCAACTGACCAAATGAGGGTGAGGGCGGAACAGCACCACCCTCTTTATCACGGCCACAATGTGATGATGTGTTCCGAGAAAGAGAAGAGAAGGGGCATCTGCAGATGTGGAGAGCCGCCCAGAGAGGTGCCCAGTACGCCCAGATGTGGAACCACCACAGGACAAAAGCCTCGGGAAGGCTCCCCAGAGCTCATGGCACACCGTGCGCGACACCACAACGACCCCTCAGCGTGTCGTGCAAGCCCAGCCAAAACAAGGTCCCTCCACAAGTTCCCCAACTCTCCTGGCCCACGTGAATGCCCTGATGACTGACAGGGAGAGCCAGGGGTTGACCCCAGGGCTTCCAGGTCCCCATTCCACACATGCGCTCTGAAGTATTGAAAACGAGGTGCACACCAGAGTCCACACCTTTCTCAGCCCTTCTTCCTCTGGACTCACCCTCAACAGCCTCTTGGCCTCACTAGCGTGCAGGCCACACATGCAGACACGATGGCCTACAGAGGACATGCACCTGGGCGAGCCTCACCTCCGAGTTTATACTCTGCCTTTCTGCTCCTCCTCCTCTGGTCACTCTCACCCCTACCCTGCCACATTTTCTTCCTTGTCCTGAATCTCAGGGTGCTTAAAAATCAGGAACCACCCACGTTAGGCTATTCTAGAGCTGCATCCTGAAAGCTGATCCCTGGAGCAGCACTGTCACCCTGGGTGGGGAGGGATGTTAACAATGCAGAGCCTCAGCCCCTCCTTGCACCTGCTGAACCTGGTGGAGCAGCCTGGGTTCAGCAAGCCCTCCAAGGGTCTGCTGTTGGCTTAAGTTGGAAACCACTGTTTTAGAGGGTGCTACTACGTCCACATTCCTTCCTTTCATTTTCTCCCTTGATGATTCCTACTTTTTAAAAATGAGAGCCTACACCTGTAATCCCAGCAGCTCAGGAGGCTGAGGCAGGAGGATCAGGAGTTCAAAGCCAGCCTCAGCAACTCAGTGAGACCTGCCTCCAAAGAAAATACAAAATAGGGCTGGGGGGCTGGGGATGTGGCTCAAGCGGTAACGCACTTGCCTGGCATGCGTGCGGCCCGGGTTCGATCCTCAGCACCACATACAAAGATGTTGTGTCCACCAAAAACTAAAAAAATAAATAAATAAATATTTAAAAAAAAACAAAAACAAAATAGGGCTGGGGATGTGCCTCAGTGGTCGAGTGCCTCTGAGTTCAGTCCCCAGTACCCACCCCCCAAATGTTGTGTTGGGTGTTATAATTGTACACAGCAGGGGGTCCAACCTAACGTGTTTGGACCTGTATACACGGGATCCAGCACCCTCCTTCCTTTCCCTTCCCCTCCCCCCGGGATCCCTCCTGAATCCCACTCCTTTGCTCTACTCCTTTCCCTTCCATTCCCACGATATTCCTTTTTTAAAAATTCCTGTTTGTTCTCTTTAGCTTTTGCATATGAAGGACAATCCCCACCCGTGACTCCTGGCCTGGCTGTTTCTCTGGGTGCTGTCCTTCTGTTCACCAGCACATGCCATCCTTTCTCTCTTCTTAAGGCTGGGTAAAACTCCACTGTTCTGGTGTAGATAGGAGGTGACCCCCAGAGGCTGGTGTGTGAGGCAGTGCGAGAGTGTCCAGCCTTTGCCTGACCGGGCATCCATCCTGTGATGGGATTTCCTCTTTCCTCTTCCTTGCCCTCTGCCATGATGTCTGCCTCCCCTCTGGCCCAGAGGAACAGAATCAGCCATCTATGGACCGAGACTTCTGAAACTGCAAACCTCAATACACTCCCCCCCATAATTTTGTCAGGATCAAGTTTTCTTTCCCACTCATCTGCTGACAGACTCCCGGGCTGTTCCCAACTTGGCTGTTGGGCGTGGAACACTGTAGCGCGTGGGACAAACGCCAAGGAGTGGGCTCCCTGGGTGGTTCGGTTCTCAGTGCTTTGAGGAATCTCCTTAGCACCAGGTACTCTGCGGGGTGCTAGCCCTCATTTCTCAACATTGGGATCCTGGATGTAGTCAATGTTCAGCCTTAACTCCTGACAGACCCCTAGATGAGACGACTTGCTCACACCCTCACAACACACCTACGAGACAAGCATGACCCCTCAGACCCCAAGCCTTCAGTGTGGACACCTAAGACACGAGGATGACCTTGTAAGGGAAAAGCCATCGCTATTTAACAGCAGAAAACAAATTTGACAGCACTGTAAGATTTCTAGTTTTCTGTAGCCTTCTGGACATTTGTAATATCACAAAGAGTTTTTAAAAACCCGAGTGTGCCAGGAGGTGAATAGGGAACCTGGTACCTTTGAACAAGCAGGTGTTTAAAGAAGCAAAGATCTGTGAAAGCAAAACGAAAGAGAATACACAAAGAAAAAGAAATGGAGGTGACCTTGGCGGCCAGGGACATTTTCAAGGGGAAGCGCGGCAGCCACAACGAGGCTGTGGGTCTATAGGGTTTTAGCAGAGTCAGGTCTTTGGGAGGAGGTAGCTACTCTTGATGGGCTTTGGGTGGGCAGGGGGATGTGGGCTGAGTCATAGCAGGAGATTTTTTAGCTGCAGCAGGAGGGAGTCCTTGAGCAACCAGAGGAAGGATGATAGATAAGGGACAATGTGAGGGTTCAGAGTCCCCAGTTTCCTTTTTCCCTGGAGGGCTGTGAGTTTCCACCTCTTTAATTTGATAACTCGAGCCATAGGATTTATGCCACGAACCCCCATGAGGTACAGGTGCAGGGACAGGAGATGAAGCAGGGAACCAGGTGAGATCCGGAAGTTTCAGACATTATTCCCAGGGGAACAGCCCCCCAGGAAAACCTTTCATCTTCTCCTGGTACAGCTTATCAAAGGCTTCGGCTTGGGCCACCGTGAAGTGATTCTTCCAGTCCCCACAGGTGCCTGGTAAACACAAAGCAGAGACTCAGATGAGAGCTACCCACAGGTCTGACCCCAGCACATCTCCCTGATGTGTCTTGCCATCACCTGGGAAGGACACTGGGGTAACAGCAGAGCGTCCAGGGCTCACCGGGGAGCCGCCTGACCATCACACCCTTTCATACTTTACCCACCTGGAAATGATTTCCTGCCTTCCCTCTCGTCTCTCCTGGCCCAGCCCACACACTATGCGCCCTTAATGATGGCGGCCACATCTTCTGAAACATCTGGAACCTCTCTGCTTCTCACTTCTGCCATTTCCACCACCTTTGGTCAAGCCCACGGCATTTCCGACCTGGATGACCGCAGTAGATTGTGAGAGGTCCCTGGGCTCTGACTGCTCACCTTTGCGAGTTCTCCCCAGCACGGCAGCCACTGTGATCTCTCCCCAGGTCCAGGGATCCAGCCCCTTCCTGCTCCATCTCTCCCAACCTGGGTGTGACTCTAGGTGACGGGTCCCTTGTGGTTTCCCTCGCCGTCCCTTGTGACTCTCCACTTGCCTGTCACCTGGTTCTCTGGCTCAGCCTCACACGTGACAGGCTTCCCTCTCCTCAGCCGCATGTCTCCACCCTCCTCCTCGGGGCTCTCCTAGCAGAGACTCACGTCTCGTCATCCCATCCGTTGGCCTCATTCAAGTCTCGACTCCAAGGCAACCTTCCAAGTGAGGTCTCTCATCACCAGTTTAGAGTCGTTGGTCTCCATCCTTATTTACTCACAGCAGTGATCAAGATGGACCTGCTCTGCCTGCGGCTCGTGTGTGCATATGGTATGGATTTCTAACATCTCAGGAAATCAACATTCTTAAAAAAATGCCCAAGACTTCGTGTTTCAAAGAGTGACAGACATATTGTATATACTCAATAAATAATGACTGAAGGGATTTATGGAAAAACAAGGAGTGTATTAACAATGTGGCCATTTTACAAGTGAGAAAACAAAGTCCTGGGTGGGCAGCCCAGCAAGAAAGCGATGGACGCAGAAACTACGTCCCCCATGTTGATGTGATCCTCCTGCCTTGGCCTCCCAAGTCACTGGGATCACAGGTGTGCACAACGACACCCAGCTTGAGGAAAGGGATTTTTATAACAAGAAATGATGTGCTTGGGATGGACGACCTTCTTCTCAGGACTACCGTGCTTTTATTATCATTTTTGCTCCATGGGCCCCAGTTACCATCTAACAAGAAGGTGCGTGGCTGTGGCAGTGACTCACAAGTTCTCTCTGAGTTGGGGGAGAAGTGCAGGGGGGCGGGGGCTTGCTCTGGAGCTGGGGCAGAGGCTTCCTGGCCCAGGAGGGCCCTGCAGCAGGCCCTGTGGCAGGCGGGGTGCCTCAGGGGAGGGGAACACCTGTGTCTCTGCCTCCCTCTTTTGTCTGTTTCCACTAAAGGTCAAGTTCTTTTCCAATGGTCCAGTCGCTATTAGGGTTGTATTTTTTCATACTTTCTTTAAAAATTCCAAAAAATCAGAAAATTTTGAAATTTCTAATTCACATTAATCTCATTCATAATTAATTGACTCCCACAGAGCAACTGCACGTATCTACGATGTCCCTACAACGTGCCACGACCAGAACCAGGGCCCCGGCATGTCTACGCCTCAGACTAGGTCACCAGTCCGTGTGGGCGCCTTCAACTTACTATTAGCTGTTTGGAAAGGCCTATGTACTTACAGCGTCCAGGGTTTCCTCTCTTACCAAGGTCACTACTCCCTCTACGTCTACCTTCCTCAGTGGCTCTGACAAAGATTAGCCTCAGGGAGGTCTCTACCAGTGGGATTAGCTCTTGGGTCTCCACTGCCCTACACACACACACACACACATGCATGCACACACACGCAAGAACATACATGCAAGCACACACAGGCACACATGCATACACACGCACAAACACACATGCATGCAACACTCACATGCACACTTGCATAGGCACACACGCACATGCACACACACATGAACACACATGCATGCACACATGCACATGCACACACGCACATGCACACACATGGCTGCACACACACACGCATGCACACAGTGAAATGTTGGGATCCAGATGATTGGCCTAGTCTTCACCTTGCACGCCCATGGTTGGTCATCGCTGGTGGCTAGGCAGCCTCGTGGCTTGTGCCACGGGAAGGACCATGCACAAGAGGGGAAGCCACCTCTCCTCCAGGACCAGAGGGAGCTTGGAGGGCGGCTCTCTCCAGGAGCATCCCGATTCCTCCTGAGGGCAGGGCCTCTCCCACTGTCACCTCTGACAGGTTCCTGCCCCTCCCAATGTTGTCACCCTGGTGCTAAGCTCATGACACGTGGCCACGGGGGGACATTTCAGCCATATCCAAACCACAGCGTTCTGCCCTGGCCCTCAAGGCTTGCCTGTCCTCCCCACAGGCCTGAAGTCCCAACGGTCCAGCACACTCAAGAGTTCAAGTTCAAGGCTTCATCTAAGACTCAGGCCAACGTCTTTCAGGTGTGAACTCCATTTCCCTGCTTCTGGCGTCCCTGGCTTGCTTCCTGTGGCTCCTGTGGTGACAGAGGTCACAGAATGACAGGAGCAGACCCCTGGGGCCTCTCTCAGCAGTGGAGGTGGGGTCTGGAATTTGGTGGCCTCAGAAAAGAAGATTTTTCATGGCCACAGAACATCTCTCCCTTCTGCTGGTGGCACCCAGGAGGAAGGAACAGTGTCAGCCTGCCCCAGAGGCCACCAAATTGGGAATCGAGTGGGTAAATCCGCATAAATATGGGGTAGACGCCTCAGTGGTTTTACTATATTTTTTTGAGCTCCCGGTTGGTGCTATGTTCTGAATGTGGATTGATGCCCCAAACTCAGACAGGAGTCTAATCCTGGAAGTTAAACTCAGGGTATTAAGAGGGACAAGTGCAGCTGGCCGTGTACAAAGGCGTGACCTTGGGAAGTGATCTGTTTAGGTCACTAGAGTCATGGGTCCTGATGGATCCCTGTGGCTTTTCAACCCCCCCTTCTTCATTTTTATGGCACTGGGGATTGAACCGTGGGTCACTCTACCACTGAGCTTCACCCCAGTCCTTTTTATTGAGACAGGGTCTGGCTAAGTTGCTGAGGCTGGCCTCTAACTGGGGATCCTCCTGCCTCGTCCTCCCAGGTAGCTGGGATTACAGACATGCACCACAGTGCCCGGCCTCTTATGGCTTTGTAAGGAGGGGAAGAGAGAGCACACAGAGATACAGGAGCACTCTCCTCAGGATGAGTGGCAGCCCAGGGGCCCCTCACCAGTGCCCATGCCATGCTCTTGGCTTATTGTACTTCTGGAACTGTGAGCCCACATAAACCCTTTTCATTTTAAAGTAGTCTGCCTTGGGGATTTTGATACAGTAATGAAAAGCTGACTAATACAACTGGATAAGCAAGAAAGAGGCCTGTGCAGGAGTTCAAGGGAGATGGGGGCAAGGGTGGGGTTGCAGGTGATGGCATCATCACCCACCACCACTGATTCCATTTTGTAAGATTCCTGGGGACCTCTGAAGCACAATCCAGACTTTTCTAGACACCAATGGCAGGATCAAATACACCACTAGTGGGGGGGGGGGCGCTCCCTGCTCAGCCCTGGTGTCCAAAATGTGGCTTCACTGCCCCCTTCTTCTGAAGGGGAGGCTGGGCGAGGCAGAAAGGAGGCCTGAAGCCTTCAGCTGGGGGCCGCGCTGCTCAGACAGCACTTTATGCTGAGGACGGGGATGGAGGTGTAAGGAGAAGGTCAAGTGTGCAGTGTGTGGCAGGTGACTGCAGTGTGGCATGCAGGGGAAGCCCAGCGGGGAGGCCACCAGGATCCAGGTGAGGAGCAGCAGTGTGGCTGTGGAAGGGATGGCTAGTGGATACTGTTATTTAACAAGGGCGACGAGACACCTGCCATGGGACAAGAGCCATCCCAATACCTGGGGACCAACCATGAGCTCTGGAGGTGCTGGGGTTGTAGTGTGAGGCTCAGGGATAAGGAACTAAATAGGCGCCTGTTGGTGAAAGGACCAAGGAAGGGAGCAAATAGATATGAGTGGAGCTGGGGGTGGATGTTGCCTTGATAGGAAGGAAAGATCCCCGACTGGTGACAACACAGGGCTCCATGGAGGTTCTGGGACTTGGTTTCGAGTTAGATAAGGGAAGGTGGCCAGGGGCATGAGGCAGGGGTGGCCAAGAGAGGACACTGTGTGGTCAGGGTGGAGCTGGGCTTCAGAGGAGGCTGGTTCTGCTGCTTGATCAGGAAGAATGGGAGGCGGCGAGTTCGGGGTGTGGGGAAGATGTGCTCAGGGGTGGACACAGGGCTTCGGTGCCTGTGGCGCCCCCTGGTGGACACATGGACTTAAGTGCCTGTGGCGCCCCCTAGTGGACACACGGCCTTAGGTGCCTGTGGTGCCCCCTGGTGGCCACATGGGCTTCGGTGCCTGTGGTGCTCCCTAGGGAGCTGTCTTGGGGCTGTGGAAGCTTCCGAGGCCCTCGCAGTGGGGATGTGGGCTTTTCACACAGCGTGAAGAGACACTGCAAAACTGAAAGCACCAAACCTCTGCTCCCAGAGAGCACAGAGCTCCCAAAGCCGCTCAGACTTTTGTTCTTGGTACCAAGGATTGAACCTGGGGCGCCTAATCACTGGGCCACACCCCCAGCCCCGTTTTAATATTTTAAAATTCTGAGACAGTTCTCACCAAGTTAGCCTCACCGAGTTGCTTAGGGCCTGAGTTGGTGAGGCTGGCCTTGAACTTGCAATCCTCCTGCCTCAGCCTCCTGAGCCACTGCGATCACAGGTGTGTGCTACTTCTCCCGGATTACTCAGCAAATTGTGAAGCAGAAAGGAAAAGAGGACAAAGGGAGCTTTGAAAAGAAACGGCTTTTCCAAAGAATGCTGGAAGGTCAGGATTTCATTTTTCAGGAAGACAAGGACAAGCTGACTTTCAGAAAGTCCCAAATCAGGGAGAGCTGAGAGAAGAGCGTGAGAAGAGGGTCAGTGCCAGGAACTCAGGGGAGGACAGCCAGGCGGTTCCCCACGGGCAGCGGGAGGGCTGGGCTGTGCTGGTGGGCAGCAGAGCAGGAACCTGGGCAGGTCTGGTTTCGGGGGTGATGGGCGGTGCATCCACAGGAGGCGAGATACAGGGCCGCGGGTTGGGGCCAAGAGAGGTCTGAATGGGGACCCTGTGCACCCCAGCTTCTGTGCATGGAGGACACTCACCATTTCCTTGGATGAACTGTTCAAAGAACTGTTCCAGTGAGTCTGGGATCTTAGCAAAGTTTGTCCTGCTCCAGAAAAAATAGCCAGACACAAGAGCATCTCTGGGATTTCTGATGATATAAATCACCTTAAATGGAAACAGGAGAGAATGAACAGTTGATACTGTCATTTCCACCTTTTTTGATCTTTACCTTTATTTATTTATTTGGGTACCAGGGATTGAACTCAGGGGTGCTTAACCACGGAGCCACATCCCCAGCACCCCCCTGTTTGGTTTTTATTTCGAGACAGGGTCTCACTGAGTTGCTTAGTGTCTCACTAAGTTGCTGAGGAGGGCTTTGAACTGGCGATCCTCCTACCTCAGCCTCCTGAGCTGCTGGGGTTACAGGTGTGCACTAACACGCCCAGATTTTACCTTTAATCTTGAGCTTTAATTTGCATTAAATGTCTCCTAAATATGAATGAAATATTTTCGTGTGTGTCTGGAAATTTAACACAGCGGTGTGCTGAGTGAAGCTACCTGCCATTTTTATCTTTATTTTGAGACAGGGTCTCCCTAGATTGCAGAGGCCGCCTTAAACCTGCAGTCTTCCTGCCTCTGTCCTGGGTTGCTGGGCTCACCAGTGTGTGCTCCCGTGCCTGGCTGATTGGATGATCTCAGTGACCACAGTCATTAAAGGGACATGCAGGTTAAGGTTCCTAGGAAATATCATGGTGGCCGGATGGACAAAGGCAAGAGGAACCCCTGGTACATTCCTTCTCACCATGAGAAGTCTGTGTGCTTTAAGGATCACCAACGGGGTGATGGATAAGTCATGGCATATTTATAGACACATACAATGTACAGTCGTTCCCCACCCACGACACACATTCCATTGGGCGAATGAATCCAGATACCTAGGTGCTCACAGCCTGAGTCCATGTGCGGGAATAAAGAACAACCAGAACTAGTCCACACCTGGGCGCCGTGTGCACTCCTGCAGTCCCTGTGGCTTGGGGGCTTTAGGTAGGAAGATCTTAAGTTTGAAGCCAGTCCCACCAATGTAGCATGGCCTGAAGCAACTTAGCAAGACCCTGTCTCCAAATAAAAAATAAAAAGGGCTGTGGATGTGGCTCAGTGGTTAAGTGCCCTTGGGTTCAATCTCTGGCAGAAAAACACAGCAAAACAAAACTAATTTACAGCTGTAACTAAGCATGGTATTTGCCTTTGTGGGTGGGCACTGACTGAGTGGGCATGAGGGAACTTTCTGGAATGGTAGAACTTTCTGGAACAATGCTCATCTGGAAGATGGTTACTTGCTGCAACAGTAGACTTTCTGGAACAGTAGAAGTGTTCTCATCCTATCAGGAAGATAGTAACCCAGTTGTGTACGTATCATCCAGACAATTATTTTTGTAGATGGACATGGTGCCTTTATTTTTATGTGGTGCTGAGGATGGAACCCAGTGCCTCACATGTTAGGCAAGTGCTCTACCACTGAGCCCCAGCCCCAGACCTGAGATAGTGTTTGAGATTCACTCACACACACACAAACACACACACACACCCCACACACACACTCGGGCAGGATCACTTGGAGTTTGAATATCAGAATTTTGCTTTCCGTTTTGCACCAACTCTCCTGTGCATTATTCAGGGCCTCCGTTTCCCAGCCAGTGATTTATTTGCCAGACTCACATAGACACCTGCAGTTAGTTGTAAGGGGACAAATTCATTGTTGCTGCATCCACATGACATTTCCAAGAGAGGAGATGACGATGAGGATGATTTTCATGCTGGGGATTTCCCTCAAGAGCACTGACCCACATCCCCTTCCTTTTAATTTATTTATTTATTTATTTAAATTTTTTAATATTTATTTTTCAAGTATCGGCGGACACAACACTTTTGTTTGTATGTGGTGCATGAGGATCGAACCCAGGCCGCACGCATGCCAGGCAAGTGCACTACCACTTGAGCCACATCCCCAGCCCCTAATTTTTTTATTTTGAGATAAGTTCTCACTGAGTTGCTTAGGGCCTTGCTAGATCACTGAGACTGGCCTTGAATTTGTGATCCTCCTGCCTCGGCCTCCCAAGCCGCTGAGATTACAGCTGAGAGTCACTGTGCCCGGCCAACAGAGGAGATTCTGAGGTGATGTTTCCAGATGTAGTTTAAGTATAGAAATTAAAAAAAAAATCATACACAAATGAATACCTTCCAGCAAACTGTTTCCAAAAACAGCACGCAGTGGCTGGGACCCTGGCTCTCCCTGGTCCTTCTGATCAGCTCTAAGCCCCAGGGAGGCTCACGCGCTGGTGGACTCAGGCCCCTGCTCTGTGCAGCAGGTGGCCATCCTTAGAGAGAGTGGCCAGGCCTCCAGAGCCACCTGGGCTCCCGCAGCTGATATGACCAGCTGACTTCACTATGAGGCAGGAGACTTACTATTCCTCTGTTAGGGCAGCAAAAGTGGGGCAATCTAGTACATAATGCAGCTGTAAATGTAAGGTTGTACCTAAAATGTCATTTTCTAAGATTCGGTTTTTGTCCTTTTACACCAAGCTTTTTTTTTTTTTTTTGTACCAGGGATTGAACCCAGAGGGACTTAACCCTGAGCCACATCCCCAGCCCTTTTTTACATTTGATTTAGACACAGGGTCTGGCTGAGTTGCTTAGGCCCTCACTAAGTTGCTGAAGCTGGCTTTGAACTCTTGATCCTCCTGCCTCAGCCTCCTGAGCTCTGGGGTTACAGACGTGAGCCACTGCACCTGGCTCCACCTTAACTCAGGCTCCAATAACCTGTGGGCCCTCCAGTCCTTGTCCTCAAGCATGGTTCTAGGTGTGGCAACATGGGCCTCACCGGATGCCCGCGGGTCCCAGTCCCTCTCTTCCTGCCCAATGAGAAGGCACCCCCAGCAGGATCTCTGGGGCTTTGGGGGCAGGTTAAAGTCTAAGAGGCATTTGTCAAGCATTTCTACAGCATCAGGCACTGACCTTGCCCTTGGAAGTGAAGAAGGACTTGGGGAAGAGGTGGAAAGGAAGGTGGGAGGTGAAGAAGCGCGGGCCCTCCCAGTCTCTGTCTAACTGCTCGGTGTCCCTTCTCTCTATCCAGGGTGAGCGCTTCCAGAAGGGCACTGATTGAACCCACTTGGGGTCCCCGCGTGAGTGAATCAGGCAGAGAATTTCCATCAACCATAGGGTTCCTGGAAAAGAGGGAAAAGTGACGTTCACTCCTTTCAGTGTGACCTTTGAAGTAAAAATTATGGTAAAATAGATGAGCTTTCTGTGATAACCATTTAACATTTTTATGTATTGACTTATTTTTTGCAGTATTAGGAATTTCACCCAGAGACGCTATACCGCGGAGCCCCATTCCCAGCCGTCTTTATTTTTTCACTTTGAGACAGGTCCTTGTTGGGTTGGTGGTGCAGCCTGTAATCCCAGCAGCTCAGGAGGCTGAGGCAGAAGGATGGCAAGTTTGAGGCCAGCCTTAGCAAATCAGAGAATCCCTAAGCAACTTAGTAAGAGCCTATCTCAAAATATCCTGGGCATGTAGCTCAGTGGTCAAGTTCCCCTGGTTACAATCCCCAGTATCTAAAAACAAAACTACAAACAAACAACCCCCCCCCAATCAAAGAATAAAAAATAAAAAAGCAAACAAAACAAGACAAAGACCCTCCCCTCATTCCCTCAAAAAAAAAACCAAAACCCTGGAGATAGATTCTCACTAAGTTGCCTGGGACTTGTGATCCTCCTGCCTCAGCCTCCTGAGTGGCTGGGATTCCAGGCATGTGCCGCTGCGCCTGGCTCATGACCACTTGAAAGCATGCGCTCCATAGTGTTGTCCATTCCCAAAGTTGCTCAGCCAAGGTCCTGAGCGTTCTCATCTTGGAAAATGGAAACTCTGCTCATGAAGCAGCAGCTCCCCCACCTCTTCTCTTGCCCCTGTACCACCATCCTGTTCTCTGTTGTCATGGACTTGACCACACTAGGGCCTTGCTAGATCACTGAGTTTGCATTTTATGGCACTCGTCCTTCTGTGCTGAACTTATTTCATTTAGCTCGATGCCCTCAAGACTCATCTCCTGGGACACACGACAGAATTTTCTTCCTTTCCAAGGCTGACAACTAAAATCGTCCATGTTTCACTCAACCACATTTTGTTTGGGCTCTTTTCTGAGATCCTTTTAATATGTTCCCACTGCCCTTGACTTTCCAACCCGTACCCCTTCCAAGGCCATTGGCCTCAAAGCTCGCCCAGTTTGCAATTCTCCTGCCCCCAGTCCCCTCCCGTAGATGTGTAATGCGCGTCCTGCTGTCATCCCAGCAGCTCAGGAGGCTGAGGCAAGAGGAATGCAGCTTGAGGCCAGGCTCAGCAACTTTGAGACCCCGTATGGAAACAAAATATAAAACAATATTTTATCTTTAAAAATACAAAAGCCAGGCACAGTGGTGCATGCCTATCATCCCAGTGAATCAGGAGGCCCAGGCAGGAGTATCACAAGTTCAAAGCCAGCCTCAGCAATTTAGCAAGGCCCTAAGAAACTCAGTGAGACCCTGTCTCTAAATAAAAAATAAAAATGTTTGGGGATGTGGTTCAGTGCTCAAGCACCCCTGCATTCAATCCCTGGTACCAAAAATAAAATAAAACAAAAATCGAAGAGGTTGGCCTTGTTTTTCTTGATTTGTTGGGTTTGGTTGACACTAGGTTTGGGATTCTGCATGTGCGCCAAGTGTGTGTGTGTGTGTGTGTGTGTGTGTGTGTGTGTGTGTTTGGGTGCCTTGCTGGGGACAGAATCCAGGATTTCCCAGATGGTAACAAGTGCTCATGAGCTACTTCCCCAGTCCATATTGTTTTATTTCATTTTTATTAGGAGACAGTTTTGCTAAATTGCCCCTGGTGACCTTGAACTCCTGACCCTCCTGCCTCTGACTCAAAAAGCTGGTGCTTTGCACCACTGCACAGGCCAGAGGAGCCATCTATTTTTGGGAGGGGTGTACTGAGTATTGAACCCCGGGGTGCTCAACCTCTGGGCCACATCCCCAGCCCTTTTGAGTATCTTATTTGGAGACCAGGTTTCCCTGAGTTGCAAAGGGTCTTGCAGAGCTGCTGAGGCTGGCTTTGAGCTCACAGTCCTCCAGCCTCAGCCTCCTGAGTTCAGAGATTACAGGCATGCCACTGCACCTGGCCACAGTGTCCATCTTTGAGGGCCAGGACTTTGTTTTCATGGTCACCACTTTGTTCCCAGCAGGTCCATGAAGTGTGGAAAGGGGTGAGGCAAGGAGCAGTGGCAGTTTCTGTGCTGGGACTGAAGTGGGGACTCCAGCAGCTAGGCAGACACTCTACGTGGGTGGTGTCTCCAGCCTTGGGTGGGGCGTATCCCAGGCAGGACACTGAGCAGCAGTATTAGGTAAGGAGACAGACCTGTCCTAAGAATCTGTAAACGTTTCATGTCATTTTGAACTTGGCTGAGTTATTTTGAGGTCCCTGGTCTGTGACCCGCCTCATCAGTCCCCCTTCATCCGAGGCCAGGAGGGATGAGGTCTGCCGGCATGGTGATGAACCCAGCCTAATTCCCTCCTAGATTGGGAGTCACCTCTTCACAAAAGTTAATTTCTCTTTTAGTGTTGTAAGGGTCCAGCAAAGCGTCAGAGAAAGAGACCACCAAGAGACCACTCATGCAATTGGCAGAAGGGGATTTATTGATCCAGCATGCTGGGGCTCCGTGCCCACTCAAGAAGGGAGAACAGCCCAGAGCCCAGAGCAGGGGTTGTGCAATGCTTAAGTACACTTTTTGGGGAGGGCGGGACTTTACATATATCACAGTCTCCTTTAACAAATCATCATACACCGCAGGAAAATCAAACAACAACTCTGAGACATGATTAGTACATTCATTGGCGGGAACAGGTCAGGCTGGAGTGATAGGTCATTCCTAAGGAGGGGGTTACATTCAAACTGATTGGTCCAGGCCCTGCGATGCCTACATGCAAGATCGCACAGGGCCCTAGTATATTAATCAACTAAATGGCCAGTAGGGCTTTGTCTTAACTGCCTCAGGAATTTCAGGTTTTGCATGTAGCATAGGAACTTAACAATACCTAGTCCTTCACTTTTTAACTCAGGCCTTGCAGCTTAGAAACTTTACAATGCCCGGTCTTTTATGCTTTAACTTTTACACTTTAACTTCAATTTCTTTTACCCTTACATTCCCCACTCCTTTTTCTGACTACTTTTAATCTTAAAAGTAATGAATCACAATTATTAAAGGGTTTCACATTTCATGAGTTGTTTTGTGTTCCCTGGAATCATTTTCTGCAGGGCCTCCATTTTAGATTTCACTCGGTATTAGACCCCGATTTATCTAACTACACTGACTAGCTAACTTTAAATCTGTCTTCATTCCCCCGCCTCTAATTTGAGAACTCCTTACTGCTGTAAGGAAGGGGGGTGAAGAGGATCTTTCTGGCTTCTTCAGGCTGAAAAGGGATGGTGTGGGGCAAGCAGTTTGGAGTCCCCCTTTGAAATCGGGTCTATCGAGTGGTCCATGATAAAAGTCCAATTGAGAAGTAATAGGCTGGAGGGCCATTTGAGTGATGGGTGGTCTATAAGAGAAACAAGAATTCATTAGTTCTGGAACCAGATTGATGCAGCAATAAATGCCATAGCACAGGAATATGCTAATGAGTATAATGGCCAAGGCAAAGACTAACAATCTTTTCTGCCAGGAAGTACCAAGAACCAGGAGCTAAGATATTGTTTCATGACAAAGTTGCTGAGTACATGGCTTCTATCTGAGCATGTAAATCTTTAAGGATATTTGTCACATTGCCAGAAATGTCAGGGATGTAAACACAACAATTAACATTTAGGTTTACAGATGTCCTTTCCCTTAAGATATAGTCTAATAATTTAATGTCATCTGATCTTGTAAAATCCTTTTTACTATTATGACCTCTGTGTCTAATAGAGAAACCTTTAATTCTGTTACTAGGGCTGGATAACCATTCTAGCAAACATTAAGCCTACCTGCATAGGTTAGGAATAAAGGCCTTAAACTAAAAACTACTCTGGCAGTTCCTTTTAATAGTTATCAGGCATTCCTGTCTGAGAATCTCTTTTGCAGCCTCCAGTTTACTTATTCTTGGAAATTACATTTAAATAACTATTATTATCATTTAAAATGCCCAGGAACAGCTGTGTTTTGGCTTTGACTGTCTTTGCTAAGTGTTTAAGATGAAGCAAGTCAAATTGACTTTTGTTTCCATCTATTGTTAACAGTCAGCTGAGTTTCCCTGGGAGTCCTCGGGGAACTTAAAGCAGCTTCTCAGTTCTGCTAGTGCCATTTACGTTAGGATGGGTCCAGGCCTTGCTTGACCATGTGGCTTCCCTCGGAAGCATCGGGGATGTCTCCCCTTTCTGATGACCCTCCTCTTCACAGCAAATGCACCGATTGGCTTTCTGTCCTCCACTGGTCTCATTAATCTCCCTGCTCAGGAGGTTATGTGGCCTAGAGTTGCAGAGCCCTTTGGAGAAGTCCCCTATTCCCTGATTCAGACTGACTCAGAGGGCAAGAGCCAAATTTTTAATTTTAAAACTTAATCTTAAACATCCAGCAAATAAGTTACAGCCTTATATTAAGAGCACTGGGCTTTAATGTCTCTCTCTCTATCCTGTAGGTGATAACTCCTTATCTTAAGTTGACCCCAGGTTGTGAGTTCTTAAAGCAGTACCTCTACAAAACATTAACAAGCTCTGGATACAAGATGTGCCTAAGCGCCTCCCTCCCAGCCAGGGAGGTAACTCAAATCACGTGCCAGGATGGCCTCCCACAAGTAAAGAAGGAAGAATGGGGCCAGTCTCAAGCGGGAGAGGTCCTTTGGGGGTTCCCAGCTCTTTTTACAGGAAACTTGGTAGCAGGGTTTGGAGACAGGGGCCTATAATCCCAGCAACTGAGGAGGCTGAGGCAAGAGGATTGGAAGGTTGAGGACAGCCTCAGCAATTTAGCAAGGCCCTAAGCAACTTAGGGGAGACCCCCTCTCAAATGGTTAAAAGGGCTGGGGATGTGTCTCAGGCTCCAAAGCTGGCCTGGGTTCCATCCCCAGTAGTTAAGGAAAAACGAAAGGAAAGTTGGGGAGAGGTGGGTGCAGAGACCTAGGACTGGTGTCCGTCCTCTGCTCTCAATTGGCTGGTGCTTCTGCTGGGGCTGGCTTCCTCACCTATGAATAGACAGCGACACAAAGTCCCCTAAATTATAGCGTCCTCAGATCTCATGTCTGTCTTGGCTGGATCTACTTATGGGAGGGAGGAATAATGG